TACTGCTACTGATTCAATTTCCCTGTTGAGCTGCTCCCACTTAGCAGTCCTCCAGCTGCCAGATGGAAGCTGTTTAATGCAAGCATTCACTGATGTGTTTTGTAGGCTTGAAGGAGGGGAGGTCTGGCTTATTTAAAGACCCAAGAATATCCTAATCTTGTAAAGAATACGAGACTTGTGTGTGGGGGTGTCTGTAAAGTTTATGGATAAACTGGGACCCATAGAGGCACCTCTGTACCAAGGTGGGACTCTGTGTGTGCCACAATTTATTGTCTTTAAGTAGAAGGAAAGTAGCCCACTTTTAATAAATGGGGGAAATACTAAGGTACATTTAATTTGGCCTGACTAAAAAGCTGCTTGAATTTAATTTAGCTGAATAAATATTACCCCATATGTCAAATTTAAGCCTATTTAAAACTGGCTTATTGATTTAGTTTGCACCTGTAAACGATGCAATTTGCCTGAAATCCACACACGGAGTGCCCACACATGGATTTGTACAGGCTTGACATTTTAATATTATTTAAACTGCTGTAGGTTGTGGGTGTGGACCCCCCCTTAGTAACCTCCAGCAGTAGAACTGAAGTCTTTTGGTTTTACTGGTTTAAACCTTGGCTTCATGCTGTTTACATCACTTGGTGCTTTTGTAAAAGATTACAAGTTTGCTAGCAGGGTATCCTTTTTCTTCTAAAAACTAATGTATTGCACCTGACCACATCTGTCTCAAGAGCTCACAGCCTACATACTTGTTTCAAGTATCTATCAGGACAGTCCGCAATAACATCATCTCAAGACTTCCAAAATGTTGAACACAAAATGCAATTACACTGCACAAAAGTACTAAGGAAACCCATCTGCTCAGATGAACCATGTGCATGTGGCACTTGGGGTGATGGCAGGACTTGGAAGGAACTCTGTTTTGTAGTTCAGTCCATGGCAAACTTCTAACCTCTGAGCACATCACTGCAGTTGTTTCTGCTTTCCTCCTAGGGAGCAAGTGCACGTCCCATGATAGAAATATTGCATAAAATAAAGCATGACATGCCTGACACCGTGACTTTGTTCATAGGGATATTATGATTGTTTCTATTGTCTAAATGAAGGAGAAAAAGCTGTTGGCTTTGAGTGAGTGCTAAGGTCTATGTTGATGGTATTGCTGTTGCAGTCTTCACCTACTCCTGATTATCCCCTGAAATCTCTTCCCAGCATGGGGTGGGTTAGCAGCAAGACTTGCAGGGGAGACTGTCATTCCAAGTGGCTTGATAAAGAAATGACGATGAGTGGCTGTGGAGGACTGTGTGCCTCTTGTGTCCTTAACAGTCCATGTTAATCACAGTAAACCCAATTGGGTTCATAATTCCATTATGAGGCAAAAATTTATTTGTTTCATTATAGTGAGCAATTATTCCCTGAAACAGTTGGATGGCAATTAGATATTTAAGTGTTATGCTGGAAAGCAGTGGAAGGCAGAGATTTTCAAAGTTATCTTTGTTTGAAAGTCCAACTGCATTTTTGGCAATCAATTTTTTTCAATAATAGTCACATATTTCAAACTTTTAAAATGTTTATTTCTAAAAAATCCTCTGTGATGATTCTATTTTATTTTAATTTTGTGTCTTTGTTGCACTGAACTGTTTACAGAATATAGTTTATTTGATTTATGTAGATGAAATTTAGAGTTGTATTTTACTCATCCATCTCTACAGGTGTGTGGTTGGATACCATTGTGGCATGGTTATAGACAATTCCTTATTGTTTTAGTAGAACAGCAGTGCTTGATCACACAAGTAATGATGCAATGGTTGTGGGTTTTGGAGTCTGCAGTCAAGAGATGTGATAGCAGGTTTTGACTCAGACCCAGTCAGCCAGTTCTTCACTGGGTGGAAATGCTTTATTCTTCTTTAAGAAGCATTATAATAATAATGCTCTGACCTTTAGAAGTCAGATAGGCTGTCTGGCAGGACACCTCTGGACTGTCAGGATCTAGGTGTCTGCTACTCATGTAGTTGTTGTAAAATTGAAGAAAAACACCAAACCTTCAATTTTACCCAGGTGAATTACTTGTTAATTACCATATGGCTGCATTTATACTGTTGTCAATGGAAGACAGAGATGACCTGTCCTATGCTATATTTTACGGATGATGGTAATGCCAACAGAATTCAAAAGCCAGATCAAATCTGTTCTACAACTCATGCTCAGCAATTTTCTAGGCTTAGACAGAAAATGCAATAGTTTTCCCCCATTTCATTTTTTTAAGCACTGACTAAAAAATATTTGAAATGGCAAATAATTTTATTTTTCTCCTCTTGAAAGAAAACCTAAGTCAGATAAATCTGCAAGAGCTAGATAGCTGGCTTTGTGAAAATTACACCAGTTATTAAAGCACTTAGAGAAGGATTTGGGTCCGGTCAAAAAGGGGAAAAAATGTTCAAAGTGCAATTCTAGCAAAAGTTATGTGTACAAGGTTGTGATCTTGAAAAACACTGCACAGCTGCTGGTTAACTCTGAAAGCAAACCAAACAAATGCTCCGATTACTTATTAATTTTTTCACTTTAGATACATAAACAGTCTTGGGAAGAAAGACTAACTGTTTACTGTTTACTGTTGTGTGAAAGGATTAGTTTAGTTCCCCCTCTGTTCATTGCAAGTAGCATCTCTGTGTGATTCCGAGAAAAACAGACATGTTCTTTAAAGAGAGGGCTCTGCACCACCAAATTCAGAGGAGAGTGCTTTCTTCCACCTAGGAGGAAGGGACAGGATCTAATGTTTGCACCTCTCTGGTCAAGTTTCTTGTTGGCTGGCTTGGACTGAGGCATTGTGTGTGCACTGACTGGTAGAAACTCCCTGTTCCATGAGCTGTGCTTACATCCTCCAGGATCCTCTCGGCTTCAGGAAAGAGAGCGTCATGTCTGAATTCATTGCTGGATGGGACCAGAAAGAACCTGGCTGTAGGAACACAGCTAAAAATAATGCTACAGAATCATAGGATTGTTTAGGTTGGAAAAGATGACTTTAAGATCATCAAATCCTACCATTAACAAAACACTGCCAAGTCCATCACCAAACCATGTCCCTAAGAGCCACATCTACTCATCTTTTATATGCCTCCAGGGATGGGAACCACTTCCCTGGGCAGCATGTGCTTGGCCAGCCTGCAAGTGAAGAAGTTTTCCCTAATATCCAATCTAAATTTGTCCCCTGGTGGAACTTGAGACAATTTCCTCTCATTCTTTTGTTTGTTCCCTGGGACAAGAGGCCTATCCCCATCTGCTACCAGCTCCTTTCAGGCAGTTTTACAGAGTGGTAAGGTGTCCCTTAAGTCCACCTTTTTTTCAGACTAAAAAATGCCAGCTCTCTCAGCTGCTCCCCACAGGACTTGCATCTTTGGCTGAACAGAATATTTTGAAGTTCTTCCAAGCAAAACACTGTTGCATGCTTCAAACAGGCTCAGCACTGCAGGACTCAGAGGCTGGGTCTATAAAGAAGTGTCCAGTGCAGGACATTTTCCAGGTGCTGGGATGCAGTGCACTGTGCTGCCAGAGCACCCCTGGCCAGTCAGTGGTGTCCTAAATGGAGGTGAGGTGCAGGTGGCACCTAGCATAGACCAGCAATGAGCAGCTGACACATGCCAAGCCTGCTTGGAACCTGAGAGACTTCACTGACAGAGCTGCAGGCCAGTCATGCCAGATCAGCTCAGCAGTGCAGACCTGCCCTGAATGAGAAGGGATTTCTCCTCTTTCTGGGAGTGGTGTCAGGATGTGTTGGCCCTGCCTTCTGCTGAAGAAGGAGCACGCCTGCCTGTGCTGTGGGTGTGAGCTGGCTGGCTGAAGTAGCACCAGCAGGGCCACTAAAGCTGCCACTGCCTGGTGTCCCTTGGGTGGCCAGACAACAGTGACATTTGCAGGGCTGCAAGCAGACAGAGACGCATCTCAGTGTGTCACTCTGTGTTCATTGCAACACTGGCCAGTGGCAAGGGGGCCAGGGTGGTTTTGTAAAAAGGGTGAAGAACGCCAGCCCTACAAGGACAGGGTTTGCAGTGTGAATTCTGTGTTACGGTTGATTTAGAAAACTTGGTATTTGCAGGTGAATTATAGCAGGTATACAGTTCATCAGTGCTTTGCATGACCAGCGAAAAGTTGATGTTATGGGCAATGACTTCTGAAAATGAATTTCCTAAATTCCTGTTGTTTCACTTCAAGGACTATTTCAGTTCTACTCTTTGCTTATTGTTTTCTAGACAAGTTGCTGGATGTACTTGTTTGTCACATTTCAAACACTTGGTGTGATCAGGCAGTAGTGACAGATAGATAATAAAGTACTGATTTGTTCTTTACATATCACCTGTAAAATTACTTCTGAAAACTTATAACAGAGTATTCTGTGCATCTTCAGGTAAACGGATATTTTATATTTAAATGCATAGTAGATGTATAATAAAATTATTAGAAGTTTTTGTATGTGTTCAGGTCTCTGTGACTGCCCAGCTACTGTGGGAAGATTTATTTTATTTTAAAAAGCTGATCTTAAGGTCCTCTGAAAAATTGCCTGCTAGTTTAATGTTTGCTATGAACTTCATTAAACACTTTATGTGCTCTGTGCCAATTAAGACCATTAGCATTATCATGAACCAGTAACCTCAGGGGGAAAAATGGTTATGCTTAAAAACATAAAAGCAGAGTTATTAACAAAAAGTGACTTATCAAGTGTAAATAGAATGACTTGAACAAAATGTGCGTCATTGTACATGCAGGCCCTCGTTTGCCATCTGGTTTCTGTTTTATCACCCCAGCTATGGATTTATTTTGTGCTAGTGGACAAACAATTGGACAATGCATAAAAACACAAGCTGGAATGTAGGGAAAGCTTATGGCTATCTTTCACATGCTCATGTGGGGGAAAAAGCAGTTTGTAGAAAAGATGAGTTGAACTGTAAGAATTGCATCCTGAGAATTCTTCCTTATAGTCGTATAATTATGATTTCTTTTACTTTCTTCAGATTTTCATTGAAGTCCAGCTAAGAATGCAACCAACAAAATAAAGTGAAAAAGCTGGGCATTTGAAGAAGCATCCTTCTACTTGGTGAAAATGTCTCTTATTTTTTGACAACGATTAAAAGACAATGGGGTCAAACACTCTTGGAAAGGCTGCAACATTAGATGAGCTTTTGAACACTTGTATTGAAATGTTTGGTATGCTCTTTCAATATTTTATTATTTTGTTATTGAAATTAATCTTTTAATATAAGTCCTGCTGTTCTCTGGTTTAGCCAGTCTTTCTCTTGGCTAAGAACATTTCTGTTCTGTAAAATTTTCCATGTTTCAATTTGGCCCAGAATCATGCAAGCCAGAATTTTAATCACATGCATACTGTATTAAATTTTCTTAATACAGATAATGCACAATTGTGGGTATGGTGGTTTTTACAATACTGGCCTTTACCAAGAGAAATGTTTAGATGAATTATTCAAGGAGTTATTTCTGGCATTGATCTTTGTCTTGAGTGGTTACACAGCTGTGGTTTTGACCAGTCATTTTTTTAAAGGTTTTCCAAATCATCATGCAATAATTGGTAAGAATATGACCTAAGGCTCATGTAATCTTTTTACTCTTGTTAGAATGTGATGTACCAGATCTGAGGGAAAGAAGTGATGAAAAAGACCTTGATCCATAACACCATTAATCATGATTATTGGTCACATTACAGTCAAATGAGTTCATGGATGATCTTAAGTGTTTTCAAATGGGGCTTTAATTCACAAAGCTACATTTAGATTCCTTGGAGATGCAGTACAGATTTTGATTGGAATGAAGTACTAATTTTATATGCCATGTGGAGAGAAACAAGTATCTAGAGGTGAGAGAGATTGAACAACTGATGGATGGACAGACCTTGCTACCAGCTGCAGTGAATCCCATACATCCATTTCTGTAGGCCACCATCAAACTGGTTGCTCAGAACTTCATTTAAGTATTAGCAGATCCCATGCACTTGTTGTCTGCTGTCTGGAAATAGTGTCTCTTCCTTGTATACACAATTTCTTAACAAGCACGGTCCATATGTGGCTCCTGTTTTCATACATCACATCATCTCCTGCCTTCCAGAAAAAAGTGACAGACAGAATAATCTAATGTTGCAGATGTTGGGGAAGACTGATGGTCAGCCAATCTGCCAGGGAATAACTCTGTGTAGTTTCAGTGGCTACACTGCAAAGACACAAGAGTCTCTATTAGGCAGCTGGAGATGTGACCTTGGGCACAGGTATGAGGTGCCAGGTGCTGCTTTAACATTGAATTGCTTGAAGCAGATCCATTTTTCAAAATAATTCAACTGCTAACTTAAAGCTATAAAGCTGCAATAAAATAAATATTGGAAGTAGTTGTACATAAATCATCTTCCCGCCCTCTTGATGGACTAATTTTGGATTTGTCCCTTAGATTGCTGACACTGTCTTTATATAAAGTTAGCACAGTGCTGCCCATGCCCTATTTTTTTCAGCTGTGGCCTGTTATCTGAACTGGTTTGGGTTTTTTCCTTTGTTTAAATAATTGTGACTGCATTCTAGCAAGCTGCTGTTCAAGGGGCATTTTTGTGCTCTGGTGTTCTTTCCTACCCTTTTGTTAGATAACAAGTCAACATTTCCACTTTTGATCCCTTCTGTCTGACTGTGCTTGAAGAGTAAAAGCTCCCCTCATCTGTGGTGGGGTTAACTCATTGTTTCTCTTTTGCAGATGACAAAGGAGACCCGTGCTCCAGCCATTTGCCAAGAACCTTTCTTTTAATGCACCGGTGGTATCTGCCTTCGACAGAGCTGGCTGGCAAGCTTCTGTCCACATATCCTTTCACAAAGTGCTGCAAGTTGGCATCACAGTGTCCAAAGCAGATTGTTCTCCTGACTGCTTGTAAAAATGTGCCAATTAATTAATGACAAGGTTTAGAGGAGAATTTTCAACCTAGAAGGTGGAAGTTCATGAACTTCTTTATGCTCACATAAAGACTTTGTAGGCTTTCTGTGTATGTACAAGAATAGTAACTATGCATCAACCTTGAATTACTGTAAATATGAGGCTAAGATAATTTTTCAAGTGTATCACAGCAGGTTGACCTTTGAGTACTATGACTTTTCAGTGATATCTAAGTACGTACCTATCATTTATACCTCTTAACTCAGTAATCATAACTATTATCATATTTGCTTAGCCAGAGCTGGCAAGAAGCTTTTCAGCAGAATATTCAGACCTGTAGAACAGAGGCATTTTTGATAGGGGGGGAAAAAAGGGGCAGCCAGGAAATAGTCTCTGCCCCTAAGACATTGTGAAAGTGAATGAAAAATCAGAGGCATAATGTGGTTATCTCTAGAAGAAAAGTTTAATACTTTTGTAAATTCAGCTGCTCTAGTATTAGCCTCCAGTGAATAAAAACAACATTGCTGAGTCAAGGCACACACACAAAGCTTTCTTTAGCTGACATACTTACAGAGATGCTGATGGGGAGAACTGCAATGAATTCAGATTGAAAATCTGCTACTTCATGAGGTAAATACATTTCTGGTCTTCTAGCACTTTGGTTTTATGGTTCTGTTAATTCTATCAACGTAATTTTGTTTGGGTTTTTTACTTGGTCTCCATTCTACAGTGAAGAGGGAATTTCTGTGTGTTTAAAACAATTAAGTTGAGCCATCCAGCTTTTAAGACACTTAACTGCATCGAGCTCAAAAGCTGACAGCAAACTTGAGTTATTATTAATCTGGATCATGAGTGTTATGATTTATCAGCCTCCCAGAGAGCAACAAGTTCACTGCCACACAGACGGGAGACACATTTTGCTCCCAGCTGTAACTTAGTGTGGGAGAAAAAAATTGTCTCAGGGTTGTAGACTTCAGTTCATGCAGTCCTTTGCAATCCCTACATAATTTATGGTGACAGGAGTTTGTTAGTGACGCCGAGGTTTTTACACACTGGGTGTGTTCCAGACCTTGCAACAGCTGCTCTGACCTTGTTTCCATGGGAAAGCTTTCATGTGTTGGGCTGTTCTGGTGTAGGAACATTTCTCTGTAAAAGAGAAAGAATGAATTTTTAAGTAATCACAAACTTGCTTCACTCAAACAAATGCTCTTTCCTCCTTCCTCTGGGTGAAGTTACATCACTGAGAAGAAAATGAGAGGGTTACAGAAGTCAGGGCTGATAAAGCCTTTTCCACTCCCCCTTCCATAGAGGAGGGGCTTGCATGTTTTGCATGTGAGTTTATGTGGCTTACATCTGCTTTACACAGTTATCCTGGTGGAACTGCCACCCAAATGCACGTCTGCATTTTCATTGAAAAATCTTTTCTGAGCAGACAAAGTTGTCTCGCTTGGACAGGGGCTAAGTGCAAGTGTAATCTGGGTGTCCTGGCAGCCTGAGTCGGGACACTGTGTGTGCCTCCTGTGGGTCTCACCTGAATCACCACTTCAATTTTGCATTTCAATAGAATGCTGCTTTGTTGTGCTGTTGTGAGTTAAGCAAAAAAATTTAAAATATAAAGTGGCTTTTGCCACTTGTGTGTCACAAATAATTACAGAGGAAACAGGCTGAGTTCACTCCCTCTGTCTAAACAGTGGACCTGAAATAAGTCCTATGAAAAAAGTGTGTGTAAAATATACGCAGCCACTGAATGTTATACCTGAGTCTCTGGGCATTTCTTAACTGCTGTCTCTGAATTTCAGATACTGGATTTTGGAATTCCCTGCAGAGTTTAACTTGGATCTTGGGCTGATTCGTTTGACTGAAGAGTTTCAAGAAGTAGCCAGCCAGCTTGGATATGAGGATCACATCCATCTCATTGATATCTCCAGCATGTAAGGATGTCATGTCAAGGACATCTTTGTGTCTGGAACAGCAGAATCTTAGTTCTGTACAAAGTACAAAAATATTAAGGCCCATCTTGGTCTCAAGAGAGCAAAAAAAACACTTGCAAAATTGTCTTTAAATTTGAAGCTACTAAAAATTTGAAGTTATATTTACACAGTAAAGAGAAGATTCCTATCTGTATGTAAATTTTTCATATAAACAGGAAACGAATTATTTTTCTGACAAGGCAAGTGCCAATTAAGTGATTAGCATTACTTTTCTTCTACAAGTTTTCATACAAAATAGCAATCAATGTAGTGACTGGTATGCTGTTTAAATCTTAGATCTTCTCAGGAAAGCTTTCTTGTCTTCTCATCCATAATCTATTCGGGTTTTTTGCAATATTTTCTATTATTTAACTGGATAATTTTTAGCATTCACATATGTAGTTGCATTACATCAAAATTATTACAACTACTATTTCCTTGACAATCTGGAATGAAAGTTGCTTTTAAAATATCACTAGACATTCTTTTGCATCTCATCTGATATTGTAGATTTTATTTTAAAATATGGCATATGCACAGTATTTGGCTGTCTCTGTTGTTCCATTACTTCAGGGCCCTGTGGACTTACAGAGGAAAAATTAATCCTTGATGTTATTCAAGCATGTTTTTACTCTGTATCAGAATTTGTTTTGAGCTGTTCTTGTATTTTAAATATCCTTAATTATGTCTTCCTGTATCATGGGGAAGAATATGTTGTCCTTTTGTTGTGGTAGAAAGCTGCTATTATTTATCACTTGGAGTAATGCCTGCAAAACTCCCAGCTCCTGTTGCACTCTTGAACAGGTCTCATTCCAAGTGTTTGCACTGTGCTGGGTGTCAGAGAGCAGAAGTCTCATGGTCCTTCTGTGGTCAGTTTTACACGACATGTTCCAGCTGTGGGCTGCACTGACAATACACCCAAACAGAACTGAGACTTATTCTTATTCTGTTGCAGTCCTTCCTACGACTGGATGAGAAGAGTTACACAGAGGAAGAAGATTTCCAAGAAAGGAAAAGCCTGCCTGCTGTTTGACCATCTGGAGCCCATTGAACTAGCTGAACATCTCACTTTTCTGGAGCATAAATCTTTTAGGAGAATTTCTGTAAGAAGCCCACAACTTTGTCACTTGCAATTAGGAGCCTGTCTTTAAAGAGTGTTCACATGGTTTCACATTTATGACTTTTTTTCTCAACATTTCAGTGTAGTGAATCTTTATACTCTCTCCATATACTTAGCCATGCACTTCCTGGACCTTTTTGTGCCTGATGATTTTTGATGCTGAGGGAAATTCAGGCACAGTTGCTTCTTTTCACAGAGGATTGTACAAAGGCAAGAGGCAAAAGTGGATGAAAATTAAAGTTGAATCTAAAACAAAACAAATGAGTAAGACAAATGCCAAAAGAAATGCTGAGATTTCTGCTGGCAAATATCCATATGAAAGGGTTATGTGATGTTACTGTATCGGGTGACAAATGGAAGCAGTAAGTTCTCAAGATGACAAATGAGACTTTTTTAAGTGTTCAGAAACATGAGAGAAATCAAACTCCCAAACTAAGAAAAATGTATGAGTTTTTTTTGTTTGGTTCAAGGGAGGAAGGAAAAAGAGATCAATGAGGAGCTGAGACCAGTCTAAATAGAATCACTTTTGATGTCGCTGCAGGAGAGAAATCAAACTCACAAACTAAGAAAAATGTATGAGGGGTTTTTTTTGTTTGTTTGGTTCAAGGGAGGAAGGAAAAAGAGATCAATGAGGAGCTGAGACCAGTCTAAATAGAATCACTTTTGATGTCGCTTAATAGTGTTCAAAGGTTAATTACTCTAGACTTCAAATCATAGGAAAACACCTACTGTGATCCGTGCAATGCTAACCTCAGAGAAGGAGGGAAGGACAAGAAAAAAGGCATGGATTTCTAATTAGATTTAAGACGCATTTAAATTCCTTTGGGGATTCCAGGAAGAAAACTCAAACCTGCAATGAATTTTTTGGTTTTTCCTTGCTGTTTCTAGCTTCTCTGTTAAATCTTCAGCTTGAATTTTGCTGTCACAGGTGATTCTCTGCAACCAGTGAGAGTTAATTGATCTTGTACCACTTGTTCTCTCAAAGATATGTAATTGTAGAATATGATTAGTCTGAATCCTGTGTTTGGTTTTAATCTTTAAAAAAATGGGGGAGAAGGAAGGGCTGCGTTAACTATAACAAAAAAATTTAAATTATCTGAACACTGAAACACTGTCTATCTGCAGTTAGGAGACAAGCACATGTTGTGTTAGAGTATGCCCTCATGTTTTTCTAGCAGGCTGGTTTTGATCAGCTAACCCCATCTCATCTGGCATAACTAGCAACTCACTACACAAGATAAAATGTTCTAAATTACTGAAAACCTCCATTTAAGGGACAGCCGAAAACTGTTTTTCAAACATTCAGGGAAATTTAATGTTTGAGATCCTATAAAGTACCCTGGCTTGAAGGTGTCAAATATAATTGCACAGAATTAAATGTGTTGAGCAAATTATGGGAATGATGGAAGTAGAGATCACACTCATCTTGCAGGCTTCTGTATTTCCTGACACACAAACATGTTGTAAGTTGAAATTTAAGGAAAAGCCACACCAAAACAACAGCAAAAAGATTTTAAGGAGGAGATGTTGTGCAGCAGGGTCTGCTGACCCTGAATCATGGTCACTTTCTAAACAAGAGGAGCCTTAGAAAGAAAAGTGTCAAAGTTTCAATTTGATTCTCCAGTTTGTCCACTGTTTTACTGAAAGTGTCTTTTCTCTGTTAGTTCACAGATTACCAAAGCTATGTGATCCATGGCTGCTTGGAAAACAATCCCACTCTGGAGAGATCTATTGCTTTATTTAATGGTATCTCTAAATGGGTCCAGCTCATGGTTCTCAGCAAACCAACACCCCAGCAAAGAGCAGAAGTAATCACAAAGTTTATCAATGTTGCACAGGTAAGTCTTGCAGATGAGTCTTTTTCTTCCAATACAAAGCAGGAATATAAATGGAGATTACAGTAAACAAATTAGCTGATGCTCTTTGTGTTATTTCCTCAGTGAATAGCCTGTTCAACACCACTAGAGGTTACTTGTTCAAGTGTGGTGTGTCTGCATTTTTTAACTAGCAGACATAACTTTATAATAATTTTCTTTATTATATTCCACTTGGCAACTGTCACTACTGTGTGCTTCTTCTGGACCTAAACTAATTAAAAAATGAAATGCTAAACCATTCTGTTATGTGCCCTGCTTTACTGATTTAACCATGTTGGGTTGTCTCCTTTAACTTGTTGCGTGTGACACTGAGTGGCTGCTGCTTGTATTTCATTAATTTTTAATTCTGCATGATTAATCTCTCCTGCAGAAGCTCCTTCACCTCCAGAACTTCAACACACTGATGGCAGTTGTGGGAGGTCTAAGCCACAGCTCTATTTCTCGCCTGAAAGAGACTCATTCTCATCTGTCCTCGGAAGTCACAAAGGTATGATGGACTCCAGAATGCAGACATATTGAGGTGAACATCACCTCTTTGAGGTCTGATGGGTTCTGCAGTGCAGGTGTCTCACCAGCACACATTTGGATTGTGGCAGAGCATCCTGAAAGGCACTTGGTTGCATTCCTCTTGATGGAGCAGGATAAGTTCACAGAGATGCTCTGGTTGATTGCCTGTGCCAGAGAGAAAATTAACACTGTCGACATCCTGACAAGAGTTGTGCTCATTTAAAACAGATTAAAGAAATGCAATGAATGCTTTCACAGGGACTTGCTTCTCTGGCTGTTTGTAGGACTGGAACGAAATGACAGAGCTGGTCTCTTCCAATGGAAACTACTGCAACTACCGCAAGGCTTTTGCTGACTGTGTTGGCTTCAAAATTCCTATTTTAGGAGTCCATTTGAAAGACTTGATTGCTGTCCATGTCATTTTTCCTGACTGGATAGATGAGAACAAAGTTAACATAGTGAAAATGCAGCAGCTCTCCATCACCTTGAGTGAACTGGTTTCTCTGCAAACTGCTTCTCATCATTTAGAGCCTAATTTGGATTTAATTAACCTGCTAACCGTAAGTATTGAACGTGTTTCAATTCACTGCTGTGATTCAAATGTTGAGTGTCAGTAGGAATACTCATATCTATAAAGTTAAGTGCATATTTTTATCTCAGTTTTGAAAAGTAAAATTCAGTTCTGAGTACTTAGAGTGGAGGTTTATGTCTCCTCTGGAACAACTGGGAGACATGCTGGCATCAACACACAAGAGAAATTCCAGCCTGAGCATCATTCTGGTTTTGCTTTCCATGTGACACAGTACCCTTCCTGTCCAGTAAATAAAAATGTGATGGATTTGTACTGGGGCTTATCAGGTACAGAGCTTTACACTAAGGAAGCTGACAAATATGAGCCTGAGCTTGGAGAAACCAAACTGGTGTGGATATACCTATGGCTTCAGTGTAATGAGGACTGGGAAAGTCTGGGGAATTTGGAAAACCTTCTTCAGTTGTGCCTTGTTTGGAACAACCTGGGAACAAGTCTTAATCCTGGTTAGTGGGACAGGAAAGAGCAGGCACCAGATGTTGAACCCTACAATAATCCTTTAATTTAAATTTTGAACTACAAAAGTTATAAGGGTAGATATTTATTTTCTTGTTTTGTTTTTGTAATGACTGAGAGCTAGCTACTTTCTTGTGACACTCTTTCCCTTTCCCATTTCTTACAAGCTTGGCTTTGAATAAGGGGAACTAGAACCTCGGGTTTTGGGGAACTGAGCAAAAAAAAAGTGAGTCCAAAAGGATAGAAATTAGACAATGTGAAGTGAGAGATGGAAGCTGAACTGCTGCTACCACTTTCATTAGCTGTTCTCTCTTCTTGGTGACAGTCTGTTTTCCAAAAGGAGCAGAAAGCTAAAGATTTTTTTAAGACCTTGCAGGTCTTAAAAATCCACATGTTCATCATTATGTTCCATTATGTTCATCATTGTATCAGCCTGAGCTCACATAGCTTATCTATTTTTTTCATTAGCTGTTCTCTCTTCTTGGTGACAGTCTGTTTTCCAAAAGGAGCAGAAAGCTAAAGATTTTTTTAATCTTGCAGGTCTTCATGTGCTCATCATTGTATCAGCCTGAGCTCACATAGCTTATCTATTTTTCAATTTTTTTTTCTTGTTTTCTTTTTTTTTCACCAAAATGACAGGGATTTTATTTGTATTTTTGTATTTCTTTCAGTGTATTCCATTTACTAGGAGAAGCAATTGAGTACATGATGGGTACTTTCTCACTTGTGATATTCTGAGGCATTCATTCATAATATAACTCTGCTGACTTTGTTACAGTTGAGCCAATCTGATTGAAAAAAATGAAGTTTCATTCTGCAATGTTGATTCCAGACCTGATCAGGGGTTATAAATAAGGTAGATATGTGTAGGTAACCTAAGACATTTCCAGGGTGATTCTGTCTTCACATCAGTCACTGCAAGTGTAGTTGCGGATCAAGTAGGTTTGTGTGGGAGTATTGATTTAAAATGGTGACTTCTGGAAAGGGAAAAAATAACAAATTTCTATCAAAAGTTCCTGGACTGGAATTTTGATACATACCATAATATGAATATTCTCATTTTTCTTCATGTATGTAGATTTTGTCCTTATCAGTGTATATGAATACAAGATTTTTTTTTTTAATGCTAGTCTCTTAAATAGAAATAATGGATTTATATTGTAGATTAAATGTTTCTATATTTTTGTTGAAAAGAAAGTTTTAAGTCACTGGCTGGGTTCAGAGAAAGAGGACAAGGAAAGGGTTGCACCCCAAGGTTGAGAAGGACTGACAACTCAGACCAGTTGACCTTGCTATGTGCAAATGGTCTATTAGCAGATTTAGCCTCCCCTGCTGCCTACATCATCTTCAGTTTTCAGAGCGTGAAGAATTAACAATTCCTTTTATTGCTAGGTCTTATCTCTCTAATGTCAACTGTAAAATTTTTTTCCATCTTTACCTTATTTAGAGAAGCTCCCTTTGAAATCTAGTAAATGAATATAAATGTGTAGGATGCTTTCCATTCAGTTGTGTGTGAATTGGCTGACCCAACTGTTTCTTCCCTTCTGCTGTTTTGCCGTTGAGCAGCTTTTATCTGGGCAAGCTTTTAGTTGGTCCCTTGTCCCAATAAGCAATGTGCAAATCTCCTGCCTGGCCTCCCTCCCTTGCAGTGTTGCCTTTTACACCACACTTAGCAAGAGCCTGGCCTGTGCTTGCTTGACAAGTAAATCACTGGGTACTGGTTTGCTAGTCCAACAACTTGCACAAAAAGATAAAATGGGCATTTCATGGGCATGTGGGAATTTGGCCAGGTTTTTCTCTTCCTCAGTGGTAGAGTCCTGTTTGCTCTAAGAGAGATGATACCTTTCAAGTGGCTTGGAAATGGTGATGTTTGGGGTGACTTTGATAAGAGCTATGAAGTAAGAACTTGGGTTAAATGCTTGAGTGAGAGGTGGGTAGTAAACTTCAGGCCAAGTCCTCAAGAGGCTTACAGGCATTTTAAAGATATTATTTTGAGTCTAGACAAAAGGGTTCATGGGGAACAAGAGGACTCTTGGTTTCAGTGGTAGCTGCTGAAGGGTCAACAGTTTGGAAAGTTGGTTTTCTCGTGCCTTAAATATCTGCACACAAACTTAGAGTCTGCTTTCAACCATCCCCACACCCCTCCTCATCTTTTTGTAAGCATAAAAAGTCAGCTTCTAGCTCACAGAATTTTAGCTTTGAGCAAGCTGAAAGAAGTCAGCATTTTGCATGAAAGTTAGCATGCCACCAACAAGGGAAAGTTTCGGTGTATGGACAGCAGGGACACATGCCAGGTTTATTGGCACAGGAGACTACGAAAGCTCAGAGGGATGCAAGTCCTGACTTGGGCTGTGTAAATGAGTCTGAGTTACATGGGCAAGCAAAGTAAATGTGTTACAATTCAGCTCCAGTGAGCCAGAGTCCCTGACATGAAGATGGACTCAGTTCTTAGTGCATGGTTTCTCTTAGTCTGTGATTATTCCTCCTTTCCTGACTTGCTGGCCGTACTTGCTCCACCTTCACTGAATCTTGTACCTGGTTCTGTACCATGTGGAGCTGACATGTAGTGAAAGAGGACCTAAACACAAGCTTGGCAGTGCAGCAGAGAGGAAAAACAGCTTTTTGCCTTTAGAAAACTTATATTTGGTAAGGATTCTTAACCTTACCTGCTGTGCATTGGTTTGGGTTTTTTGCACAATGTGAATAAAAACCTGTGGGTACATATTTCATCACTTTCTGTGGATTGGAAGTGGATCTCAGTTTCTCAGCTAGACCACAGTGTATTTGTATGAACAATATTAAAACCTATTCGGTGCCACCATTTTTCCCTTGCTATTTTAATCCTTCAGTATCTATTTATCTAACCTGTTCTGAGACTGTATGCAAATGACTGGAAAGTCCCAGGCTTTTGTACAATCTGGTGAAGAGAATGAGAACTACCTAAACAATCAAATTGAAAGTCACCCTCCTTAACTTGTGTTCAGTAAGTTCCACTTAGGAAAAAAAGAAAAAAGTCATGTGTTTCTGATCACTCCCCTACCTTTCTCAATGCCCCTCCAAATTGCTCAGAAAAAAAATAGGATAGCAATGATAGTCAAATTAGAACAGAAACTCACTGTAAAACTTATTCTAGGAAAAGTCTTATTATACTTTTTTTTGTCATAGCAAAACTGTAAATAAAATATAAAATGAATGCTTACATAACTGCATAATCATCATACTTGTAATTTTTGTGCTAATGTATGAAACTTCTGACCTAGACAATACATTACCTACTGCGTGCTTACACATTGTGCCTAATGAAGTTATATCCACTGCTTAAGATAATTCAGGGAGGGAGAGATACAAGTTTGCTCAATAAATAATACATTTAATACTAATACATTTCCACTCCCAAATCCACACCCAGCTCATCTGACCTGCTGAGAAAACTGTGCTCTTTCACAGGAGCCAGACAACACCTTTTGAACTACCATTGCTGCTCTCCCAGTCTGACCAGATTACATCATGCACTCCACCTGAGTGCTGCTTATTTTATGCCATCAAGGAACCTCAGAATACAGTCACTGAACATCTCACCACATGGACAATATTTATTACAGCACTTTCTGGTTCAATTTTGTCTTTAGGACAGGCCCTTACCTAACCCTGTGACAGCAGCATGCTGGCTGGGTAAAGGAACCTGCAGGACAGGATGCACAGCCTTTCACTGTGCCCTTAATTACAACGTGCAAAAATCAGCAATGTTTCAGCTAGACAAAATGAATAATGTGATCTCCAGACTTCTCTAAAGCCATGTGTTTGCTTTGGGAACCTATCTTGGGAAAGGGCACCGCTTGTGTCTTACTCATCACACAAAATTTTGCCTAAAAGAGAGTGGTTCCTAAAGGTGGTTTTGCAGTAGGTGTTACTGGTCCTTCTTGCTACTTACTTGGCACTTCAGATTCTCTAAAAATAACCTGTCACAGTTATTTAGTCAGTTGTAATTCCATCTGTCTGCTCGGGAGCAGCAAAAAATCCTTTTAACTCAATCTTAGCTTAACTGGGGATTTGCAAGGTGGATGATAACTTCAAATCGTGTCAATTCTTCAAAGCCAGTTAATGCAGGAACATGATCACAGGAAACATGCAGTGTTTGCTTCCTCTCATTGTAGAACATTAGCTGCAGTGTTGATTATCTTTCTCCTTCATCATTCCAAAGGAGGAGGAGTTCACTGCAGACATTGATCAGTGCAAGATCCCAGCTGCCAAAGTAAAAACTGATTCATCCTACTTTAAGTATATTTATGTACATTCTTTTTTTTCTCAATAAATCCTCCAGGGAAAAGAATGAGAACATGATAGAAAAATCTTTCACTTATCTAGAAACAGCTAGAAGGCAATTTGCCTGACTTGCTGAGAGGCAGCCAGGAGCAGGCTAAGCTGGGACTGCTCTCAGTGGAGCACTTTTCTGCATAAACAGAAGTGGCAAACCCAGCCTGCCTCTCCCTGGCCTCTGTCTGCCCAGGGTTTTGCAAAGAGGCATTTGCTCTACGGGCTGGTCTTTGTAGAAGAGCTGCACTACTATGACCCTTCTTGAGGAACAAAATTTGACCAGAATAAAATTCGAAATCTTCCAGCCTAGCCCCTCTATGACTACTGTGCTGAAGTTTTTGCATTCTCCCTTCTTTGCTAGAAGAAAGTGGTTTGTGTAGGGGTGGTCTCTGGAGCCCATGTCCCTCTGTGCACGAGGGAAGCACACAGCCCCTCTCACCCCTGGGGTCAGGGTTGTGCCAGCCCTCAAGAGCAGTGCCTGACATGGCAGCAGCATGTTCTTCACCAGCCTGGGTTGTGCAGAAATCCACTTCCCCAGCAGCTGCACGAGGCTTTGGCCTGTCTCCCAAACTCAGAGTAGCAAAATGTTGTGTTTGCCTTCAGTGGAAGGTATATCTCAGCTTAAAAGCCTGTAATATCCAGCCCAGACTAGTAAATATTACTGTTTTCCATTCTTCCATTCCCCAGCTGTCCCTGGACCTCTACCACACTGAGGATGATATCTACAAGCTCTCGCTGGTGCTGGAGCCAAGGAACTCCAAATCTGTACGTCATCTTTTACTGCATTTTGAGATATTGCTTATGCTGTTGATTTAATTTTTAAATGACAGTTAATGTGTTTCCTTATTCATGTGTATATAAAGCTTTTTAGTATTATATTTGTGTAGAAAACACAGGAACTATTTATAGGTTTTAGTGCATATTGGGAAAAATAAATAGTGGAACATGCCAGATATCACTGTTAATTATTTTTCAACAAAACCTCTGCAAGTCCTGGAAAACAAAGTTCTGCTTTAGATATATAATCCTTTATAAGTTTATATCAATTACTTATTGTGTGACCCTTAGCTGATTTTCTGGATGCTGGTGCAGTTACATAGAAAAACACTGAGTTAAAAGGTTTGTTTAAGGCAAAGCAAATAATTACTGTAGTATTTTAAAACTGTTTGCTTAGGTATAATTGGCTGACTCTTGGGCTCTCAAGCAATGTTTAAACAGATGAGAATAGATATTAATCTTTATTTGGTTATGTGCAACTAAAAATAATGCTGCATTCATGCATTTTTCTTTATTCTTGAAAGTCAAAGGATACTGATAAACCTCATAATTAATAGTTGAGTTCCACTTCAGGTATTAATAATTCACTTTCTTCTCCTGCCAAAGACTGGGGACTCCACTTTCCTCTGAGCATTTCTTCAGTGTATTAATGTTCTTATTACCTTTCATATCCAGCCTGTGATGCTCTCAGGCTGAGACCTCTCAAGTCTGACAGCATCAGAAGCTGAGACAGGCTGGAAATTCTTCACAGGGTATGAGAGGAAGGTCCAGGAGTCTGAGATGATGCATTCCAGTGCTTTTTAAGGTTTTGAAGCATTCTTAAAAACCAGCAAGGATCAGAACCCTTAAATTTCCATGTGTAAGTCTTCTCTGGGGTTCAAAATTGTTAATCACTCTTGGAGACCAGTTTGAGGACTCTGTGTGTGTGCTGCCAGTGATGCATCATGAGCAATGATAAGGAAACTAATGAATATTTCCACAGTCAACACTAGCTCAGCTTGAACATTTGAAATTTTATTACTGAATGTCCAGCCCTTGTTGGATATGATTTGACCACAACAGCTGTTTATTTTAGTCCTTCTGGGTCCCTCATGCTCTCATTACTGCCAGCAAAGGTGAAATGTCACAGCCCTATGCTGTGGAAGCACTAATGGACCACTACTGTAAATGAAAATTATCACATTGCTGCTTTGATCTCCAGCCTGAGCTTTAAGCAGGACAAAAGCAATAGAAACAATGCTGTGAACTTTAACAGTGCCCAGCAGTTGTGGGAGTCTCCTGCATCAGGATCAATGAGTAGGCAGTGACACTGAGCTGTTGCAGCACCCTGATGGGTAAAAAGCTGCAGCTGAACCGACAGAAGCCAGACTATTTGAAGCTTTCTTCTCTTTGATGGAGTGCCAAAGCACACAGGCTCTATTACAGGGGAAAGAATTTGTAGGGCTTTTGTATGTGGAAAAATTTGTCAAAGGCAATGTGAGAGCATAGTTATGTCATTCCAACTGCTCCTTGATTTATTGTTATTTGGGTACCACTCCCAAGCAGGTGCACTGTGAAGGAAATGCCTCATGCTGCTGCAATCATTTTCGAGGCAAAAGTGGAGCTGATCTGTTAGCATATCAGTCTGCTGTCAACAGGGACTTGAGCAAGACTTTCCTTCTGCTCAAACTGGGAGTAGACCCTTCAGACAGTATAGCAGCCTAAAAAAACTCTGAGAAATGACCACCAGCTGTGGTATAGCACCTCCTTGTCATAGTGTCTGATTTTCCGTGCCCATTAGTGATCTTCTTGTAAGGATTTCTCACTAATACAGCTGTTATCTAGAGGACAAATCTGCCTGGTGCAATTATACCACTGATGATGCACTTAGGTAATTTTTTTTTTTGTTTTCAGTAGAATTCACTTCAATGCCAAAATACATAGGTGTTTGCAAACATCTGAAAATGCTTTCTCAGTCTTCAATACCATGGTCCCTGTGCTGGTGAAATAAATGGGAGATACAGTCTGAATCACAAACTGCATGGTCAGATAGTGTTCTGGAACATTTAATAAATTCAGCTTGGTAGTCTCTGGACAGCCAGTTAGCACCTTTCCTCAGAGGATGCATTTCAAATTCATAAATAACATCATGGTTGTTCATTTGAGTCTATGAGTGTAATAGAAGAACAAATATTTCGCTTTGGTTAGTGGTCAGTAACATAAGGATTTAATTGCGACTTGCTTTGAGTCTGTGCTTTTGGCAGATAGAGGTGGATGTTCAGATTCACTGTACTTCTTAGGAAAATTGAATTCTGTTGGTATAGGGGTGTTTTCTTATGAAAACTGAATTTTGTTGATATAGGTTACTCCCAAACTTACTCAAGCACATTTAAATTTGTATGGGTCAAAATCTATCAAGGTGTTGATAAAAGCTGTTCTAACACTTGAAAAAGGAAAAGCCAAATTAATAAAGCAACGCACTAACAAATCCTTTTTTTCTTTTCCAACCAAACACAGTCAAATATGAACCTGTGACCATTTCTCATCTGGATGTCAAAGTCTACAATACCATTGCTATACACAATGATACATGTAACATCTTTACATGTCTTAATTGTCTCCCTTTCCAGTCACACCAATTCAGAGCAAGACAAATGAGACCCAGATTCTTTGCTCATCAGCTAACACAGGGGCCCTATGAGACTCTGGATCCTCTCCCTTGTGATCCAAAACACATTGAATTTTTTCTGCTTGACACAGCTTTACCTGCTAGATGTCCAGTGGCAGATGCAGGGAAAGGCCAGTTTGTCTTGCAGCATTGTCCATGATAATTCATTATTTTTGAATCCTTACCTGAAAATGTGTTCAGGTTTGTCCTATATTTTCTACTTGAAGGATCTGAGTTGCATTCCAGAGCTACTCCCAAAGCACTGTAGTGGTGTGGAGAGAGTCAGGTTGTGAAGTCTGTGCATCCAGTGAGCTGTCAGCTACTGTTTTGTCAAGACCAAGATGTTTTTAAAATGAAGTAATCTGGCTGGCTGGTGTTATCTGCAGAACAAGTCAAAGGTTTCTACTCAAGCTACTTAGATGAATTAAGCTGTGCATCCTGGCACATGTCAGCTGGAAACCAGCAGGATTGCTGAGCACAGTTCTGCCCTGCTTCTGCATCCTGCTGTCTTGCTGGTGGCACACAGAGCAGGAGCATGAACTTATTCAGGTTAAGGCAGTTCCTTGTGTGGCTTCTGGGCTTGGTGCCTCCAGCAGGGAGCTGGGGGCAGACTGTCCTGATCTCCTCAGAGGTTTTACAAAGGAGCAAATCAGGTTTCTGGGCTTACCTATTTCTGATGCCCAGTGTGTTCACAAACCCTACAGACCCTGCTTCCTTCCCTCTTCCTTCAAGTCTCATTGCTGTTGAGCCCTCTGGAGATGTCAGTGGGGGTTTGCTGCTGAGCTCCCTGGGTGGCAGTGGAGCTGCAAGGTGCCACAGAGAGCCTGGCTGAAGCTGTTAGTGAAGACGAGCAGCCCTTAAAAACCTTGCCTGATGTTTGGTTAAGCACAGTTTTACAGCACAAATACTCCAGTATTTTGCTGTTGTAGCTCTGACATTTTGAGCTGCTTTTACTGGAAATTAATCTCTTTAACTGAGATTTGAAAATCCTTGTGTTCTGATCCATCTCTCAGCAGCCTACCTCCCCGACCACCCCCAACAAGCCAGTAGTGCCACTGGAGTGGGCATCTGGAGTGGTACCCAAACCTGACCCTACAGTCATCAACAAGCACATCCGGAAACTGGTGGATGTAAGTATTTGGACCATCACACTGCTCTAAGAGAATGGTAGATTTTATATTTTCATCATTATAATTAATTTCAAGCTTATAATGAGATTGTTATGGTTGGGGTGAATTTCAGACATATCATCAAAAATTTGAGCTGTTACTGGTATGTTCAGAAATATCTATTTCATTCCTGCAATCAGCAATGGACTAGTAAACAAGTTTCTGGGTGCAAATGAGCAGACTTTCAGAAGCATCCAAAACCTGGCTGCTGTTTAATAGGTTTGTCTAGCAAATATAATTTCAGAGTACAAAGTTTAGTTTCTGCAGCTCTAGCCACACAGCTCGTGTCTGGTAACAGAGAACTGAAAAGAAAGCAACTCAGAAATAAGGTCTCATACATTAATAGGTCAAATTAACTTTTCCAGAAACTCTATTTCTGGTTTTAAACATGCTGTTAGTTTACTGTCCAGAGCATGTTATGTATAGTAAAGATAGTGTTGTCTTGATGTCACTTTAAAAATGTGGACACGAGGTCATGCAGAATTAGAGCTGAGATCTTCTAGCCCCAGTTTAGAAGGCGATATGCTGTGCTAGGTAATATAAACAAAGCTAAACACCCCCAGATTCCTTTGCAGAGACTGAACTTTTCTTTCTCCTTTTTACAAATTAATAAGTATGTCTGGGAGGAACTATTAAATTCTGATTTTGTTTGTGTTACAGATCACTAATTGGGGTTATGTTGTTAAGATAACCTAAACAAACTCTTCACTTCTTTCACCCAGATTTCAAATATATCTTGTAGTTTACTTTTTGTACATGCTCTTTTTTAAAACAAGTTTCATTTTTCTTCTAATGTGGGATGGCAGAAATGCACATGCTGTTCCTGAATTGCTTTTGTCAGTGCCATATGTGTTGATAAAAATGAGCGAACATCCAAACCTCTCCTTGATAGCTTGTAAAATAGGAAGTCTGTCACAACTCCATAATCTTTCCAGAATGAGCTGGGTGGGAGTTTATGTTTGTTCCTATAGTTAAGGGAGTTGCAGTTCCCATTCCACAATTTTGGCCTGGTTTAGGACATGTGATTTGAGTTTGACAGGATTAAAACATGGTTTGGGCTTTTATGGATGCAGCTTACTAAAAGGGTGACAACACTTTGTACAACTGTTTTCACTTTGCCAGTATTTGTTGTTTACTTGCTGCTTTGAATTGTGCTTTTAGCCATTGTTTTTATTACAAAAAGTGTTGAATACTACTTGTGTTTGTGTTTTAGTTCCGTCTTTATGATGTTTTTTTGAGGTCTGCCAGTCATTGGTTACAGTCATTTCATAGAAATGGGTTTCATCAGGTTCTTGTTAAAACAAAGACACTCCAGACGCCTTTCAGGGGTCTCAGTATATTGATGTAATGTCTTCATCAACAACATTTTAATCTAATGAAGGAGCCTGTACTTCACAATGAGCCTCTCAGCCATGTTGACTTTGGCACTCATGTTTTTCCCATCAGCATCACACATAGCTTTAACACCACTTGCACATCTCTGCAAACAGGAAGACAGAATACAGTAACGCCTTAGCAGCTAAGGAGGGCACCCATCACTCTATGTGACCTTTAAATTTGATCCCATATCTGTTTTTACTTGGTGGTGGATTGGGGTGGTTGATGGAAGAGAATGGTTGTTAGACACAAATTGCTCATGGTTGCAGCATCAAGATATCAGTAAACAAAACAGATTGAAACAGTACTGTGGGAGAGTAGAGGTGACCACCTAAAAGAAAAATTAAGCCAAAACCATCTGAAATAGCCACGGGAAAGCTGCTGGGGTTTTTTTAATTTCTTTTTTTTAATTACAAAAAATATGCTTAATGAAGCAAAGGGAATATATCATCACCTAGGGCAGAATTATAGTGACATTTCCATCAAAGAAGAAAAGTAAAGCAAGAATAATTATGTGTGAAGATGTGTGGAGGATCGTCATTAGATAAATGCTGATGTCAAGTTTTTTTTTTAAATCAGCCATTTTTCCCATAGAGTCTAATAATATGCGTATTGAAATACTAAGGAAAATAAAAGGAATAAAACAGATGCAACAGAGCATCTGAATAGCTGAATAAAACATTCATTTACATGTGGTTATAATGTTGAAGAGGCTGCTACAGACTCAGGATAAGCTAGACAATAGTACAATAATTATTTTTTTTCTCCCCAGTCTGTCTTTAGGAACTACGACCATGACCATGATGGTTACATATCTCAGGAAGACTTTGAGAGTATAGCTGCCAACTTCCCATTCCTGGACTCTTTCTGTGTGCTGGACAAAGACCAGTAAGCTTGGAAATCTCTTTGTGGTGGCTTTTTCCCCTTTTCCTCAATTTAAAAATTTAAAAAATACAAATATTGAAGAAACAGTGTCTCCCAAGTTTCTCATGTCTGACAAGACTACTAAAAGCCAAATTCTGTTATCATTTAAATTCTTATACTCTAGTTAGTTCTTTAAGTCCTAGGTTGGAGTCCTGCTATACCTGGTAATTTAAAAATCATTTATGTAATAGCTTAATGACAACTTCCTACTGGGACTGAGTCAAAACCCCAGAGTACTGTGAAACTGCAGTGGAGGTACTCTATCCAGACCAGGCACCAGACTGATGAAACAAATAAGTTCTGACAGCACATGGAAAATGGATGCATGTAGCAGAGGGAGTAACAAGGTATATATAACATCCATTTCCTAGCCAATTTGGCTTGATAATTCTTTGTATCCAGAACCTCTTTGACTGTAAGGCTGATGGCCAGCCAGAGGCATAACACATGTTCTGTGTGAGCAGTAAGTCAAGTTCCTTCATTTAGTTAGTGGCCTGGTCTATGTTCTCATACCACTAACAGGTGAGATAATAAGGTTCAGTGTTACTGTTTAAAGAAAGATAAGAACCACAAAGGCTGTAAGAGCTTTTTCCTTCCAGGACTGTTGCAGCTCTTTCAAAGGATGTGCTTTGTGTGCTGCGTGCCTTCTGCAATGAGAAAACCCCAAATTTTTCAGTACCATGAGCAGTGACAAATCTACTCTACTTTTTATTTCCCTTGCAGAGATGGTCTTATAAGCAAAGAAGAAATGATGGCTTACTTTCTAAGAGCTAAATCACAGTTCCAGTGTAAAATGGGACCAGGGTTTATTCACAACTTTCAGGAAATGACCTACCTTAAACCAACTTTCTGCGAGCACTGTGCAGGATTTGTAAGTATGATTTTAATAATAGCATATAATAAAAATGACTTTTAGCCTTTAATGTGTATGGGGTGGAACTGGCTCCATACATTGCTAAAGTGTCTTGGCCAAATAATATCTCGCGGCATGCAGAAGCACAAAACATTTACTCATGTTGTAGCTGTGCTATCCAGTTTTGATTTAGTGGTTTCTGAAAACTGCCGTTTGTAAGAATTTCTGTTGGGGGGAAAAGAATTATGTTAGCTAAAGGATGTTAGAGACTATATGAATGGTCTCACTTGGTTTATCTTAAGTTCTTTAATTTGGCTTGATTTCCCATGTAAACAAGCTCAAGGGAAAATAGATGTCTGGAGCAGAGGATGTAGATGAGGCAAAAGCTGTTCTTTCTCAGGAAATTGCACATGGAAACATAGATATGTTCATAATTCTTTGAATGGCTGTAACAGCCCTAATTTTCCCTCTATTGAATTAACAGATCTTCTAATTTGGTAAAGAAATCAAAAGTGCTTCCAGCAGTTCTGTACAATAAGAAATTTTGAAATTTATTAGTTGGAGGTTTTTTTTATTTGCTTTTTTTCTCAGGCACAGCTTATCAGATATCACTTGTTAGAGTGCTCTTTACATATCTGGGAAAGGATTAGTTTTGTGGACATTTGTGTTGCTCGTAAACCTTCTCTAAGTTTTCCACTTCAACCCAAATGCAGTAAAGAATTACTATGATACAGAAGTTACTTTAATGGACGCATTTGGCTGAAATGAAATGTCCACATTTAGACAGCTCAAGCAGTAAGGGCAGAGGGCCATGTCCTCTGTTTGTGTGTGTGTGGCTCACATAACAGGCTGTAAACTCAGACCCTGTCCCTGCTCTCCAGAACAGATCTGCCTCTGCACTCAGCAGTAACTTTATTCCATGATCTTTTCCACTAATCAGTATTTCTTCATGGCTGAAAGTAACAACAGCAGCGCTGCAAAGCACAAAAACGTGCCTCCTTTCAGACCCTCTCTGGGCTCCTGCTCTAGCCCATGCTCCCATTTTCCGCTCACTCCTTTTGCGACGTGTAAGTTTTGTTTGGGTGCCTGGAGCCCCTATCGCATCCGCTGCCACTGATTCATGCCAGGGGCAAGAAGGAATTCCGCCTATTTCCGCCAGAGCTGCAGAAGCTCTGGCGGTGACATGGTCAGTGCTGACGTAGGAGTGTGCTGGTGGCAGCTCCAGCAGACCCACGGGGCAGGGACAGCCACCGACCTGAGCCTGTTGTTCCAGGCTGCCTTGGGAAGACGTCATTGCGTTCGTGACACTCAGTGCGTGTTTGGAAGGCTTCCACAGCAAAGCAAGGCCCAAGGACTGCCCTGAAACGTCCTCTCCTGCAGATATTTTTCTCCTGCATCAATTCTCTAATTGGCCATTGTTAGATTTTTCACGTCTCCCTGATTACATCCAGTGCAGGAATACAAATGAGTAAGGGGTTGTACAGGAAATGGAAATAAGGTCATTTTTCCTGTCAGCTCACTGAAGTCATTGGCATTGTTCTGTGGATGAGTTGGACTGATAGGACAGGAACCAACTACAGAATCTGCTGCATATTTGTTCTGCATTTCAGTGCTACTCATCCACGGGTGGAAACCTAATTTCAAACTGATGCACTGATCCAGTCAAAATAATGTGCACTGACCATGCACCAGGATGAATTGACATGACAGTGCAATGCACACAGTTATTAGAACGCTACAAACTTTGAAGGTCAGGCTAAGATCTAATGCCACTAAGCAGCATAAAGTTGATATGCCCATGGCCAGTCGCAGTTCCGTCCCAAAGCTTGAGTTGCACCATGTGGCAGGGTAGGTGACTGGCCATCCTGCTAAGCTTTATAATCTGAATTTGCACAGATCCTCTTACCTTGGAGCTGGCTCAAGCCAGCTTTGCAGCAAAGCTGTGTCAGACACATTCAAAGCTTTAGGTCAGAATTTGTGACATGACACTTCAGCTAAGCTTCCACTGCGGTGTGTAGCCACAACAGTGGTGCCAAATTTGAGTGGGAGGAAGGTACAGAGATAAGAAGGTGAGGAGTGAGTAGAGAGGCCTGCAGTGAGACCAGATTAGAGCTTAAACGAAACAAATAACAATCCATGTCTCTTACAGGGATCCTGTGAAAGAGATCTGGGAAAACAGGTCATCTCTGCTTTCTCAGGAGGGACTGGGATGCTCCCAGTTGCTGCCTGAGCAGAGGAACTGCATTCACTGTGCACATATATGGCATTAGCAAGAAAAGAATAAGCCACAGGCCTTCTATGGACCCAGCTCCCACTGTTGTCCTTTCTACTCTTTTGTTCACCATTCTTCTACCTTGTCTAATCTATTTCTGCCCTCTCCAGAGCCCCATTTTTGCTTGCTAATTTTTCTGTACAGTCTATGAGGTGGTTGACTTTTTTTCACCTGGAATCTTTCTGTTCTGATTATTTTACTCTTTCCTTTGTACTCTGAATGATCTTCATCTCTTCCTTTTGAGCCTTTCTTTAATGACCATATTCACCCACTGCTCTCTGTGCATGGATACTTATAAATCTGGTGAGGAGCCACACGCAGTTTCAGTCGCCTGGATGTGCTCACCCTCCCTGCTGAATGAGTTCAGGAAAAATAAACACCAGAGGCCCCAATTTTTTTCCTTTTATGCTACAGTTAGAAAAACTGCCCCTTCCTCTCACTGCCTCTCAAGAATGGAAATGCTTGTTTTGGAATGCCGTGGCTGTAGATACAGTACTTCTGAGTACATAGAAAACAATTGCTAAGGAGTTTCCCTGTTTCCAGGCAATCCTGCTCATGTGGCAGTGAAAGCTTCCCAAAAGTGGGACCACACACAGTGGCCCTTGGATGTTTAGCATTTGGTATTTGCAAGTGTATGTCAACAAGAACAGCTTCTCAGGAAAGGCAAAGATTGAATTTAGTGGCTTTTCTGCCTGTTTCATTCTTCATCTGTTTGGGTTGGGGTTTTTTTAAGTTGGAAAAGGCAGGTGCACAAATCAGATTGCTATGGCAATATAGGTGTGCTGGGAACCAGTATAGGAACCAAAAACCTATTTTTTATCCCCAGTGGTGTTTTCTTCTGCTCTGTTTGAATGTTATGGGTCAGTGATGTATCTGGAGAATGGATGTATGCAGGAAGTTCTCCTGCAGATAACATTAAGGGAGTCTAGAAGCAGAAGAAAGTACTCTGCTGTTTTCATTAAGCTTGACGTGACAGCACATTTTAACCCATTCCTGGAAGCAAAATTCCTCTGTGTCTCTCCTTCTCTGGTAGTCCCATTACTACAAGTAAGTAGCAGAAGTAAGGGAGAAGCCACACAAGTCTTATCACAACTAGAGGGGGAGGTCTGCCTGACAGGAAGGGTGTTAAGAGCAGTTGTATCCTGTTTGTGCTTTTGTAGCCATTGGTACTTCCTCATTGTGACCTTGTTTTCCTTCCAGCTTTCTTTTCTGATTCCTTGACGTTCTTTTGTCTTTCTTTGCAGCTCTGGGGTATAATCAAACAAGGCTACAAATGTAAAGGTAAATAAATACTACAAGGATTTTTTTCAAGCTGTGGGTGGTGGGTTGTAGTACCAGTTATTCAATCATACCTGTAACCAAAACGGCATATGTTCAAACACATCTTGCATCTACATTTGGTATTGTCCATGAGCAGTGACTGCTGGCACACTATGAAGTTTCACTTCATTAGAATGCACATTACTGCATTAGAATGCAGTAGGAATGCACAGATTCTGTGAGATAAAGGTCCAAAGCAGCCCCTTACTCCATGAGCTGTAACTTTCTACCAGTAAAGACCTTGTAAATTGGAAAAACAGGTGTTCTTATCCTAACACTGAAAGATCCTGAAATATATCCCCTGAGACTCAGGTCAGGAAAAAGTCTGCTGGCAACAGTGTGTACATCCATGTACATCCATGTACATCCGTGTACATCCATGTGCCTGTAGTGAAGCCTACATGCAATTTAATAGTGGCTGAGCTAGAAATAGAGAAATATTTCATTCCTAGACTGCCCAGCAGATCTCATTGCAAGATGCTCTTCAGACATTCAACTACAAAAAATGCTAGAGCTCTTACATCTCTCTCCCTTGCCTTCATAAAACACTTAATTTCTTATGCAGTACTTGTACTCTATTAAGCAGCTCAGACCCAAAAGGGCTTTATAGTGATCTTCATTGGCTTTTAAATACTGGACCTATTTATTTCTCAAGCAGCCGAACTCTGGCTGAAGGGCAGTGTTGATTTTCATAGCTGTAGCTGCATCTCAATTATTCAAAGGGGAAGATTCACATTTGTACTCTTTTCACTTAGTCTTACACAAACTCCAAGGAGAAGGATAAAGAATCCACAGTAATTTTTTTTTAGGATACACCATACTCCTGTCTCTCTCTCCAGCCACAAACCTCTTCCTCAGAGTGGGATGGGGAAAATGTCCATGGCTGGATCAACACATGTAATTCAGATATTCCTGAATATTATCATCTTAGAAGCTTTGAAAGGGCTGGTTGCAGTCTATAGTTTTATTGGTAAGATGAGGAAAGGAAGGTAAAGTTTTGTCACACCAACCTGTAAACTCAATCTGAGATCTGAAAGTTGAGCTTCTGCCCTGCATCACTGCCTGTAGCAGCGGCCCAGTGGAGGCTGAGCAAAAGTGGTTCTGTAAAGTCAAAGTTACAGGCAATGAAGCATGAAAGTAGGAGAACAGAGCTGCTCACCCAGATCCTGCAGCAGCCAAAAGTGTGAGGGTGCCTGCCTTTTGTTGCAGCAGCTACCAGCTGCTCTGTGTTCCAGCATCACTGCAGTGTGACACCCTTTAGGGATGAGCTCTGCCTTTAGCACAGAGCTGTCATCCTCTGTTTGAACACAGCAGGGGGAGGGAGGGAGTTCCTTCTTCCAGGTCTGCTGCTTACCCAGCACTGTGAGTAATGAGATAGACTGCAAGGTCTGCAAGTGATAGAAGGAGTCCTGCACTTCTAGAGGAATCCTTAGTGTATCTGCTCACCTAGAAGAAAATGTCAGGCTATGGAGCTATGGAGCAGCAGAAGAGAAATAAGGGAGATGGGAGTTTTTAAACGATGGAAAAGGACACAGAGGAGAGAGAGATTGTGTTTGGGGCACATCCTCCACCCTTCAGCCCTTTCTTGCATATAAGATCCATACTCCAGCCACACTTCAGATAAATGCACCTAGTCATGACGTTTCCATAGTGATTTAAATCCCAGCAGAGGCTTGGAGTGCAGATACTCAAAAAGTCTTTTCTGAGTGAATAAAACACTTCTGCAGAGCTCATTCATGTGCTAATGTTGCTCACTGAGCTACTTAGACTAGTTTTAACCTACAGTAGTCTATACAGACCTCCAGCAGTCCTTCCAGACACTCAGGGTATGGATGCTCTGGTGTCTTCTAACCAAACCTGTTTACTATAATGGGCCCTGCTGGGTCAAATAAAAGCCAGCCAAATAAATAATGGCCCCCTCTTGGGGGAACTCATGCAGTGGAGCAGAAGTTTTATACAGGATCATATCATTCCACATCTCTTCCTTGAGACTATTTTATTATTAAAATATCATCTTGTCACTTCTGCTGCCATTTTTCTACTAATGGCTGTCATGGAAATGATCCATATTTTTTTTTGTAATGCACTTCACACCAAGTGATCCATTTCTGTAACATCCTTCACAACTTCTGTCAAACTTTTTGTTCCGTCAAAGTCCTTTCTTGGTGTCTGCCTGCTAATAGCCCTGAGAGATTACCAGATAGTTGTAGCTTTCCATTTGATGACTTGACAATTTCTTTTTTTACAGATTGTGGTGCCAACTGTCACAAGCAATGCAGAGACCTGCTTGTGCTGGCTTGCAGGAAATTTTCCAGAGGAACTTCAGTAGGCAGCAACCATGGGTCTCTGCCTAGCAGTCCATCTCTGCCTCCAGGTGAGAACAGTTTTCCTCCTATTTTAAATCATTTCTGGAATCCTCTCTAATGGCCAATGCTTTTGCTGCCATCTTTAATTTTTCCTTTGTATAAACACACAAAGCAACACCTGTCCTTTTTTACTATGGCTTATGTTCACTCCTCAGATTACAACATCCTTGTCTCCAGTGATGGCCTTAGTGTCCTATCTAAGGCTCACTATCCTCCTTACCAACACCTCTATCCCATCTGAAAAGAAACGAAATTATATTTCTCCTTTTTTGTCACTTAGGAGCAAGGAGATACAGGGCACAATTCTAGCACTGTCTTACCCCCTGAGCATGCAGATGGTGAGGCAATAAGATCTGTGCACACAGTGTCAGAAACAGTTTCCAAGCAGCATATGGATATTGATAATTATAGCACAGCTTCATACAAGGGGTTACCTCCCCACCCTCCCCCAGGCTTGTTACCTTTTTGTAAACACCAGAATACTTAAACAAAACAATTCCACCCTCTCTTTCAGTCCAAGATGAAGTGTTTGAATTTCCCAGTGTTGCTGCAGAACACCAGGACCTTGATGGCAGAGCTATCACCCTTGTCACTGGCTCTTCACAGAAAATTTCTGTGCGGCTGCAGCGGGTGACCACCAGCCAAGCAACACAGACAGAACCACTCTGGCATGAGCCCGGTTGGAATGATTCAGGTTCCCATACTTTCCCCAAAATGAAGTCCAAATTCCACGGAAAAGCTGGGAAGAACAAAGGCTTTGCAAAGTGGGAGAATGAAAAGCCCAGCATGCAGGCTGATGTAGAGCAAGAAGCCGAGGCCCCACAGGATATACAGGATCACAATGGAATAGAAACTCTCCCAGAAAGACAAGAATCTGAGGTGAGTTCCAGAAGAAGCCAAGACAGTTTAAAATCTGCTATAGTCTGATGTCTCATAGGGTTATTTGATGGATTTCAGGATGATTTTTCATTCAAATTTGTCATTGTTTTTTGCACAAGAGTCACTTTCAGAAGAATGCTAAATCATCCACAGATCTCTGTTTTCTACACTGCACTACACGTGCACTAAGACACGTAACTGGCAGTCTGGGTTCTGGTGTCAGTGTATGATTTTTAGTAGTTGGTTACTTCTCATTTTGAAAACCATTAAAATGGCCTGGTGGATATCTGGCCACCTTGTGTGCTGTTGTACCCTTGCAGTGCACAGTTCAGGGCTCCATGAGACTCACAATTACCATTCTGACAAATACAGGGGTCCAGGCCAGGGCAGGGCATTGATCTGATGATGGCTGTTGCTGTCATCCATAATATTTATACTTCCAAAGCCTCATGCTTTTATTGACCATCTCTGCCAGTATGTAAATATTTTCTTCTGCTTACAGGATAGCTGATTGCACACCCTGAAGCACAGAAAACTAAAGATGACAACTACAGCAAGTGTTGATGGACTGTCACAGACCACATTTGGCCATAAGGCGTGCTCCCATACCTCATCCTTTTAAACCCAACCATTGCCCTGTTTTCTTAGCTGAAAGGTGTTATAAGGCACTATTTATTTTCTCACAAGTAATAAGCCATTTCGATGAACATCGCCCAGCCACAGCAGCACAGATCTCTGTGGTCAGTGTTTTCTTTTGTATGACTTCTGTGGAAACTTCCTCCACATGCCAGTGAGGATATACTCAGCCTTCTTTAAATGCACTGCATCATTTCAGAGTGACTGCCAGCAACAGCAATGGTGAGGACAGAAGCCAAGCATCCAAGTTTGTTCAATAACACTCCTTTCCCAAGGCTTGTAATGATAATTTAAGGAAAGAAGTAGGTGTGCATGTTGATTAAATCTCAAACAAAAATCTCTCACAAAATCCTCTATACTGAATTCTTCACGCACCTGGGGTTTTGAATTTTGGCCATGTTTACCTTGCTGCAGTGAACGTTTGGTGTTCAGCACAGTGATATCGGTTCCCAGACTGGGGATCCTTCAAATAGGCAGCAGCTGGCTGAGACTGAAGGAAATCCAAGACACTATGTGTTTTTCTGGTTACACCACAGTGGAGAAGGGTGACCTTTGCCAGCACTGATTATGGTAACATTAGCATGCAATAAACACTTTAGTTTTAAGTGTGTGTGTGTTTGTGTCTGTGCATATATGTGGATGTGGTACTTTTCTCTGGTTAGAAAGCTGTACATGTTAAAACTAAATGTTCTGAAGAACAATCTCCAAATCAGCAGATTGCTAAGGTAGGATCTAGCACCTGAATTATAATGGTCTGGTTTGAAGTTGAATTTCCCAGAACTGTTAAATTATTGAAAGAGGACAGTGCTCATCTGGAGAAAGAGAGAAAAACAAACACCACAAAGCTCAAACCTGAAAAACTGGCACACATGTTAGCTTTCTTTTCCCATCTCCCCACAACAACAGGGGTGGGTGTGTGCATCTGTAGCACACACTCTGATTTAAAACCCAGTTATAAGATGTCTTACAAAATTCAACTCATTGCACCCTTCAACAGATTATAATCCTTCAAGATGAGAGTAATTTCATAGACTTCCCTAACACAAAAATGACAGTTGCACTCCTCTGTGATTATTTGACTGTAAAGTCCACTGGGACTACGTGATACCTGCCCAGGTTTGCATCCTTCAGGTTTGTTTTCCAGCACAACCAGTATCAATAGTAAATAGTAAATCTGTGGAAATAAAAAAAAAATGTTTAAAACCATTCTCTTTACTCTTGTAAATTCAAGAGAAATAAGCACTGGTTTCCAAACGAGGACGAGGGCCAGAAGCACACTTCATTCTCGCACTTCTGTGGGCAAAGAGCAAGCATGAGCAAAGCAAGGTGCTGGTTTCCTGTGGTGGGTCAGGGGCTGGGTCCCAGCCGGCTGCCCGCACAGCCACCGTTACAGCGCGCGGCTTGCGCACCGCGACAACGGTGCGCCGGAGAATTTGAATACACACATTTGGTTACCATCCAGGCTGTTGAGATAAGCCTCTTAATGCTCTATAAATGAAATGTTCATGAGCAACTTCATTCTTGACATCACATAGTTTTGACCAGCATTTAGTCTGTAGACCTCAGCTCCTTTCTTGCAGGCTTTTAAAAGTTATTTGTGGCTCTTGACTTACTCATCTCATCAATAAATCTCTTGCAAGCCTAGTAGCTTCAGTCTATCTGCAGTTGCAGATCAAGGATAGTCTGCAGGCTCACACAACTGATCCTGCTAAGCAAAATAATGCAGCCTCCAAGGAGGATCACAAAATCATTAAGGTTGGAAAAGACCTCTAAGATCAGCAAGTCCAACCTTTGACCAATCACCTTGTCAACTAAACCATGCACTAAATGCCACATCCAGTTGTTTCTTGAACATGCCCAAGGATGGTGACTCCACCAGGGAGGTGGTGGAGTCACCATCCAATGCTTTACAACCCTGATGATGAAGAAATTCTTCCTGAAATTCTTCATGAAATTGAGAAGGAATAGGTGAAAATTTCAAGCACCTGGTACAGCTGGAAACCCTTTGTTTCAGGCATTTAAGGAAGGGGATCCCAGAGCGTGTTGTTGGCAGTACATGATCATGGCCATTGAAGACAAGAAAGACATTGGGCAGAAATGCAACCATTTTTCATACACACACACCCCTCACTGCCCAAAAAAGGGCATTTAAAAAAAAAATTATCTTATACAATGTAATTATTTATTAAAAAAGCATTCACAGACTGTTTACAGAATGCGATCTCCGAGTTCCACAACAAGAATCTGAGTAGGGAGAACTCACAGGGCTTGAAGAAACATTTTAAGAAGTTGATATGAGGTTTCCCCGCCCCCACCGTGGGGAGGCCTGAATATAGGTAATTTAAAAAATCTTTTTCTTATTTCAAGTGGACATCTTTTTCTGAACAAGGGAAAGACTTTTCTTCACAAAAACAATTTTAGTTAGCCAATCTAGGCAAAGGAACAAAGAGTTCCTTGTTTGCTCTCTCTAGCTTAACAAAATGCAGAAAGCATCAGCCATGCAAGTTCCTGCCTGATCTATGTGTCTTTGCTAGTCTTGGTGAAATCCTGCCTGCTAGAAGTACAGCAATTCCAGGAGAGTGTCCAGGAGAAACTGTGTCATAATGACAAGAATGCTGGATTAATGAAGTAGCTAAAGTCAGATACAATCCCAAATGATGCCTGATACTTCCACCCCATCCATTCTCTCCTGTCTCAGGATCTTTTAAAAAACACAGGGGGAGACCTAAGGATTGTTCAGAAAACAAACTCTTCAAAACACCACACAGTGGAAAGAAGGAAGATTATGTCAAATCTTATTTACAGCTTGGTCTGCAAATGCCAAAGAATACAAGCAACAAGAGTAGGTGAAAAATGCAAGTGCTTGGATGGACCCTGTAAGAGATTATTTGGCTGCTTGAGCCAAACCCACTAGGACTTTCTGTGCTTGTTTAAAACCTTGACAAAGCCTCATGTTGCCCATAAGGGAGCTTCAGCTTTGCTTCCAACTTTATGGAGTAAAGTGCTTGAGTGCTTCTCAAGGAGTCAGGGGGACATCTGGCTCCCTCAGAGGGAAATGCAAAGTCAAGTTTGAACCCCCAGCTCTCTCCTCTGTTCTAAACCTCTCCAGAGTCTTGCCCTCCTCTGCCCCCCCACCCCCAGTCCTACTCAGCTTTTAGGCTTTAAAAGAATAACTCGGCTTCACAAAGAAACATCTTCCTAGACAGAAGCTATCTTCTCAGAGGCACCTTCCTCAGGCAGGTGAAGGCTCGGGAATGGGCAGGGAGAATATGCTTGCTGACCAGAACTAGTCTGAAGCATGGATTTTCCCCAGCTGGGAAAGGTGAGCCATTTTCCTTTCAGTACAGCAGATGAGCTGAGCTGCAGAGCAAGGTTAGGGGCAGCCATTAGCTAAAATTTTACATTTTTCCAAAATTAAACAGCCTGTCACTTCTGTGGCTGTTGTTCAAGCGCTCCTCTACAGAAGTCAAAGTGAAAGCATGCCCTACGTGCTCCCCCAAGGTCTGCCTTATGGGAAGCCCAGAAGCCTTTGGCTGAGCAGCCACAGGAGGATCCTTGCAGCCTTGGACACTAGTTCTAGAAGCTTTAGGCATCTGTATGGAAATACAGATTTCATATGAAAGAAAGCTGCATGTGAAGTATACTGGACAGAGGCTGGAAAAAACCAACAAAACAAACCCTACAAAAACAACCAACCCAAAACAAAACAAACCCCACCAAAAACAGAGAACAAATAACAAGACAGACAAAGAGTAAATGCAGGAAGAAGCACACTGAGACCTCTTTCTCTATGTGACACCAAGAATGGAAGGGGATCCCAATGAGAAGGAAAGGAAGGAAGGAGGGAAGGAGGGAGGGAAGGCGGGAAGATCTGCAGGTTTTGTAGAGACAGGAGAAACAGGGTTGTTTGTTTTGTGACTATTATAGCGCAAAGAAAAACTAATCAATTTTTGCTTCATTCAACATCAGCCCACAAACTGATGAAAACGTCCGTACAGCACAAAAAATAATTCCAAGTGCTTCTCAAGAAAGCCTTGACAAAAGAGCTGACAGGGTCATAGAATAAATGGATGCAACTTTGGAAAAAGTTTTTGAGTTATTAGCACTGATCTGGATTTTCAAAATAAGTATTGCAGCCAACAGGGTAAACTCATTGGAAAATCTGTGCACTGAACTTTAAAGTGCTGTTTACAGCTGTGGACAATCTGGTCCTAGGAGACAGAAAAGCCATCAGCAAAAGGCTACTGCTGGGGCAGTATGAAATTTAGCCAAAAAGTCTGCTTTTTCCATGAGTGGAGCTAATGCCGGAAAGTTTAAAGAGGCCTTATCACCTTCATCTCTGCTCCATGTGTGAAAACGAGTTATGACCTTCCACCTGCCCACAGCATAGGCAGACTCCCTCTTTCTTTGGTATTACAATAGTGTTTTCCTACTTTTTGTACTTGTTTTTCTCTCCTCTGTTGTGGGAAAGACCCACGTGGACAAGAGAGGAAATTACTGGACAATAAAGGGGAAACAATGACACTGACAGCAGTCAGAGCTATAAAAAGCACCAAGTAAACACAAAGGAAAAATATTTTTTCCCTTCTACACTTGTTTGTCAAGCCATTAGAGCTGTGACTTATTTTCAGCCAAGGAGGGGAGAAGGCAATGTTTACAGCTGGTAAGAGCACTTGCTTTTTCAGACCGTGTCCCCTTGAAAAGTCATAACCTGAACCAAGCAAGCACATGAGTATGCCGAGAGCCTACACAGGGAAAACACCTTGGCATGCTGCTCTCCAATCACAACACTGCTGTGACTCTAACCTAAGGGTTTGCTAGAAGACTGATAAAGCAACCTTGGAGTTCAGCATGAGCCAGCTTGTTTGGGACTGCTAAATCCTGCTCAACACCTTACAAATGTATTGATATATCTGTACTAATTCCTGTTGTCCAGGGAAATCAGAAGTTGAGAGAGAGCAGAATCACAAGCCTAACAGTGAACAACACTTGGACTCTCTACTGCAGTCCAAATGTGGCAGAACTAAGACTAAATTATGTGCAATAAAAAGGTATCTGAGGGCTTTTGTTTGCAGGTCTTCATTAACCTAACAGGGAGCTGAATTAACTTCTAGTACCACAAGAATTGACACAAGCCTTTTGGACGCTCAAAAGTCATCAGATCCCAGTGATAATCCTTTTTCCCCACTGCATTCTTTCCACTGCAGCAGTTTAATTTTACTTTTCTAGGTGCATAACCTGTCACAGGGAATACTCCTACACCACAGGACTTTTCAAGCTCCAGCCATTACTCATAAATATCTGCTGCCATGAATCTTGCTTCCCTTCTCCCCAGTTCTATCTTAGATAGTTGACTGGTAAGCCTGTAGGTTCTAGCTGAGCCTGAGGTTGGTTGAGGCACATGTCACTTTCCTGAACTCAGCTGCAGTTTCCTGGAGACAGACATCCAAAGCCTTAAGGCAGGTTACCCACAGGCTCTGGCTCAGAAGCCTAATCCATAGCTTGAGGAGCCTCTCTAGAGCCATCAGCCATCATGGCACATCACCTGGAGCCAGGATTTTGGCTGCTGAAGTAGAGGAATCCCATCAAGTGAGATTTCCAGCCAGCT